TTTGGCTTCTTGAATGTTTATCTTCTCATCTTTCAAGATGTTAGGGAAATTTTCTTCCAGAAGCTCTTCAACTATCTCCTCTGTGGACTTCTCTGATTCTTCCTGTTCTGGAATGCCAATAATTCTTAAGTTTTTCCTCTTCTTGTTATCCAGCATGAATCTTAGACTCTCTTCAGATTTTTTTATCCTTTTTTGAGCTTGCTCTTCTATCTTAGCAGTATTGAGAGATTTGTCCTCCAGCTAACCAGTTCTGGCTTCCATCTCTTCTATTCTGCTCCTTTCCACTTTCAGTGCATTATCCATTTCTGATATTTTATTATTAATCATCTGGAGGATGATTAATAATAAAAACCTCTTTTTGCAGGTCTTGATTGTTTCCAATGCTGTATGAATCTTGTTTGATTGCTCTTGTAGTACTTTCCTGATTTCTTCCTTGTTTTCCTTCACCCCTTATCGGAGCAGTTGAATTTGTTTCCATATCATTTTTCGGAATTCTTTCTCAGGCAAATCCAAAGTCTGCTCTTCCTCTTCTGGGGAGCCTTAGTTTCTCTCAATTACTCTTTTCTGTTTTTGGACATGTTTTGAGATCTTTTGTTGTGTTTGAGATCTTTTGTTTGTCATTTCCAGTAGTTATGTGGGTTTTTAAAATTTTAAATGGATGTTTGTTGTTGTGTGTTATTAAACTTACTGGGTTCTCCTGGTAGATATGATCAAGAGATAGGCGTCCCCCTTTTTGCATGTAATGCTTAGCAGCTGTTATTGGCTCTTGTCTCAATGGTGGAATGTTATGGGTATGCTTGTAGCTTGGCTATATAGGCACAATTTCTGTGTCTTCTTGGGTAATGTAGGGAGAAAAAGCTCCCACCTCCAAAAAATGTGTGATCAAAAGGACCAAAAGCAGAAGCAATATAAAAGCAGAAACAAAACCCACCACTTTGAGACAAAAATAAAACTGTGGCTAACTGTCCAGTCACCTTGCTACACAGGCAGTGTGTGTGCATCATAGAAGTCTCCAGCAGTGGGTGGGGGTGTCCACTCACTCAGGCCCCTCCTCTAGTCACCACCGTGGAGGTGCACAGGTATTGAGAATTTAATGTGAGAAAGAGTGCACACTATTTTTGTCTCTGAAGGTCAGTTAGGTATCTGCATGTACACAGAATAATTCTTGAGACAGGCGCGTCCTTTTATGTTGCGGTTTTACAGATTGTTCTGTGGTTTGTCTGTCAGGCCTGATGGGCCTTCTTTTTTCTTGCTAGATAGGCTGGAGTAAAGGGTCCCGCACAAGTTAATTTTAGAGCTGATGTCATAAGTAGTCACCAAGCTCTTTCTATCTGTACCATGGGAAAACTGTGAGGTCAGCACTGGACTTCTTTTTTTTTTGGGTGGGGGGAGGGCAGTGTGCATCCACCCGCCTGAAGGAGTCTGGGCTGGGCAAAGAAGGTGCAACAGGGAAGAGGAGGAAAAAAATGTGTACAATCCCCTCACATCCTTTTGCAAATGTCACTGCATCGCTTTTAGTGCCAGTTCCCTGTACTGTTCTGGGTGTAGCTCTGCCCTCTGAACTCCACCCTGTTGGGGTGGCCACAGAGGGAGTCCCATCTCCAGTGATTCCTAACTCACAGTATTTTCCTTTATATTGTGATTTTTTTTTCACTTGTGAGTGTGGGAAACTAATGTTCTGGACCTTATGGTAGATCCAGAGCTCTGGTGTTGTTCCATGAGCGCAGCTTCTCTGGGCTTTCAATCCCTCCCCTATGGAGCCTTCCTACCTGGCTGTCTCTGCTGCTGCCCAAACCGGAACCTCCCCATTATCTCTTAATTTCATTTTTCCACGAACTTTATTAAGTCACCTTGTACACATAAAATTTATTATGACAAAGTGCATATGTATATGTCTACAAATTACAACCTTCAGTTTTAAAATATAGGAGAATGTTTTGAAAGAAGTGGTGAGCATTTTCTTCTTATGTATGAGAAAATACACCCATATTATCTATTCCACAAGAAGTCAATGTGCATAGATCATCAAGTTTGCTTGTGTGAGGACAAATGATGTCACAGGATACTAGAAGTTTTAGATACAATACAAAGTTTTCCCCTTCTGCATCTAGCATGCTCTATGTAAGTTATTGTTCCAATGTAGTCAATATTTAACTTTTTAGTCTATTAGCTAATTTTTAACTATTTTTGATAAGGGTGGTGAAACAAGGAAAAAAATAAGGATGCCTCAATCTGAATACTGGATTTGACTCATTAGCTGTATCAATATGAAAAGAAAAAAAATCACTTAAATTCTCTGAACTTTTATCTACTGTAAAGAGTTTTAATAAAATGTGATTGTATATATAAAATCAGTTTGTGAACATAAAATGTGCCATATCCATTTAAATGATTACTGTTATTTCTCTTCAAATATCAACATATGATCAAGGATGTCATTAGCACAAAGAAAACAAACATAAATAGGAGTTTTATTTGTTTTGAATTTATGTATTTCAAATTTGGTTTAGGAAATCTAGTATCTAATAGCTATTATACCAAGTTTCAGAATGGCCATTGTCATGGCTAACAGTGGACTAAGAGATCATGCTTGAGTCATCCAAAGTGATATAGGTGCTCAACTTCAATGATGGGATTATGACTAAAATGACTAAAGAAAATCCCTAGTTTTTATTGACATATTAAATAATTAAGTCACTGATCATGGTAGATGATGGACTGATACTGTGGCTGAACAACTGGCTCAAAAATAGAAATGATTGTGACTATAGTGCAGAACTGGACAGTGTTTTGTTCTGCTGTACATAGGGTTGCTATGAGTCAGAACCTATTTGATGGCAACTCCAAGGCACATAACAACAACAACATGAATGTGTGTATGTGTGTGTATAAATAAACCAAACCAAACTCACTGCTATCAAGTCAACTCCAACTCATAGCAACCTTTATAGGGTTTGTTGTTATTGTTGTTAAGTGCCATCCAGTTAGTTCTGGACTCATAACGACCCTGTATAGCGCTACCAAAGAGTAGCTGGTGGGTTTGAACCATCGACCTCGTGGTTAGCATTCCAGTGCTAATTCTACAACACCATACCAGGAGTCCTATATAGGGTTTACAAGACTGTAACATTTGAGCAGACAGCCTCATCTTTGTCCCACAGAGCAGCTGGTGGTTTTGAACTGTCAACCATTAGGCTGTTGTTGTTAAGTACCATTGAGCCAGTTCTGACTCATAGAGACCCTGTACAGTGTTCCCGAGGAGCAGCTGGTGAATTTGAACCATGAAATCACTGACCTTTTAGTTCTCTTACCCCAGTGCCACCAGGGATGTATACATCTATATGGTGTGGTGCTGTGGGTTAATACACTGGACTTCTAGGTTGATTTGAACTGCAAGGTTGTTGGTTCAAGCTTACCAGCGGCTCCTCAGTAACCCTATACGAGTCTCCATGGGTCAGAACTGACTCAATCATAGTGCTGAAATGTGTAGTATGTTTATGGAGTAAGCTAAAGTGGAAAAGAAAAAGAGAAACAAACAAACAAAACAAGCTAAAAGATTCTGGTTAAGAGTTTGTTGACTCTGGCTTCAGGGGCATACCTGGGTCTCAACATCTGTCAGCTTTCTGGTCTGCTCTGCTGTTTGAGACAGGAGACTGGTTCCTATTTCGAGCATGGTGGCCGTGTGGTTCTGAACAGCATTCTGCTGTATCTGGGCCATCTCCGACTTCATATTTTCCACAATGTAATTCTCAAGCTGCAAGAGATAAAGGACAAAAAAATCATATAATAAGCAAAGTTCTCAGTTGGGGCATGTAATATTTACAATGACAAAACAAGACACAGCTGGCAAATCAGCCATCTGGCAGGCATCCTCTGCATCTCTGAGATTTTGGGAAATGGGCTCAGAGCACACAAGAATCCAGATGCTAACAAACTCCTAAATGCCGATGTAGATATTTAATAATCACAGTCATAATGGAAATTTGCACTTGGATAGTGCTCTCCTGCTTTTGACATCATCTCATTTAACCTTCAAGGCAAAGATGTGAGCTAGCCACAGGAGGCTTCCTGGTTATTTTCATTTATTTTATAACTGAGGAAAAGGCATCAGAGAGGGTCACTGAGACCAACATCACCCAGTAAGAATGCTGTAGAGCTAGTACAGAAACTTAAATCTATATCATGGGGCTCTGGTCTTTCTATTACATCATAGTGATCTCTGAGAAAAAAATCAACTTCCAGCTTCCATCTCAGTGAAGATATATCAAAGACCATTCTGGATTGGGGCAAGGATTGAGAGGAAAGCATATGATCAACACATGAGACCTTAAGGAAATAGCAAGACATGGACACTAGTATGTGAAATGAGCTGCAAAACATTAAAGCCAAATATATCTGTTCTCCATGGTCTTTTGCTGCTCAAAACCTGAAAGTTTACAGTCCATAAAGTGGCATTTGCCTTTCTTGCCTTGGATAATATGTTATACTTTGTGGTGCCAGCTTAGAGAATATCTATTGTGAAATAAATTGTCCCAAGGGTGCATGAAGAATTATTAAGTGACTTACTACAGGGGACTCTGTTAGGCACCTGGGAGAATAAAGCTGAGCATATGCACTGCTTGAAAAATATGAAATAAATTTGCACCTCCCTGCCAGTGTACTTAATTCTCCCCACCACTGCGTAGTGACTACATTTCATTACCCAATTACACATATGGGAAAACTGCATCTCAGAGAAGACAAGTCCAAGGCCACACACCACAAAAACAGTCAGACTTGGATTTGAGCACTGAAGTCCTTAACTCTCATACCAACACTCTTAACCACTTGATAGCTCTGCCAAGTCGTGCTTCACAAGCCGGTTTCCAAATCATTAACAGCTACATGATTTTCACTGACTTAGTGAACCATAATATAGTCACTATTTTATAATCTATAGTAACAGTATTGTCATGTGATAAATATAGTCTAAAGGTAAATTCTCCTCTCTGAAAGTTTAGACAGTTCAATTTGAAACACAATTTCTTGCTTATTTCTATTTATTAAACAGGAATCTGTCCCAAGGTACAGAAAATAAAAGATTAGAATCAAATTCATACTGTTATTAACAAATTATAACATTATTCTTGTTCAAGATAAGGCTATTACTCTTTATTCTTTTTATTTTATCAATATAAAAGTTATTAATATTTGCCTAGTAGGATAAGAATTGGACCAAAAGGTCAGTTTAAACCAAATGGTTGGCAGCTCAAACTTACCAGGAAACCCTATACAAGGTCGCTATGAGTCAGAACTGACTCAATGGCACATAACAACAAATAAAGCCCAATTATAAAACAAGTATAAAATAGATTAGAATGAATATTAGCAAATTGTCTTAACAAAATGGAAAATTTCTAGGTCATATCTTGACTTTAATACAATTGAATATATTTATACAAAAGTGAACATATAGAGAAGGAGGTCTGGGAATGGTTATCTATATTTCGGATAATGTAATTTCCCCCTTTTTCTTAATAGTGTCCCTTAATTTTACTTTGAAAATTTATCTTTCTTCCTTTAAAGCCAATGCTTTTGTTGAGTTGTGTATCCTAACTCCAGGAATGGCTACATGTTTGAGCCTTGACCAACTAGACTGTTTTACACTTACTTAGAGTAGCTTGTTCAAGAATGGAAAGAAATTCTAAGCCAGGTCAGTGATCCTGGTTCTAGAATTTTATCATACCTGTTTTATAGAAGAAATAGCTAGAAAGCTGGTAACATATAAACCTAATACTGTTTATGCCCCATTTTGCCACTGCAAAACCATAGCTAGCCTGAGAATAAAGCTAGCCTATAAAATAAACACATCATAGGTAGGTAACTAGACAGACAGATAGATATATAGATGTTGTTGTTGTTACATGCTGTTGAGAAGGTTTCAACTCATAGCAACTCAGTATAGTTTCTGAAGAGCAGTTAATAGGTTTGAACTGCTGAACTCACAGTTAGCCAGCCAATGCTTATTCTACAGCACCACACCAGGACTCTAGTTGATAGATAGCTAGATAAATAGATATGCATGTACCTACATAAATAGATTAAGCAGGTTATACAGGTAGAAGGAAGATGATGACATCTCTTGAGCACGTGGATCCAAACTGCCATATCTACCCTTGGACATGTAATTTTAAGTGGTATGACCTATTTATCTCTCCTGAACCATCTACCTCTCCACTTCTTTTCCCTTAAATTCCATTGACTTAGGCTTATAACACAATCAAGAGAATCTTGATTAATACATTTAATGAATGTTTGACAAAAGAGCTCTAGTGGTGTCATGGGTTATGTGTTGGGCTGTTAACTACAAAGTCACATGCGAATCTACCAACTGCTCAATTGGAAAAAGATGAGGTTTTCTGTTTCCATAAGGATTTATAGCCTTGGAAACCCTATATAAGGTATTTTCAGTCAGAACCAACTCGAAGGCTTACAACCAACCAACCAACCAACCAACCAACCAACCAACCAACCAACAAAAAAAAAGAGGCAAGAATTCACAAACCTTGTTAATTGAAGGAAGATGGGGCTGTATAAGAATGTGTATATCACAGTGACAATTATGTCTCCATTTAGGAGTATATTTCTGAGAGAACTTGCTTTCAGCCATCTACTGATTGCAAGACATGTTTAAACATATTTTATTTGGAATAATCCCATGCATGTATGACCTGAAACCCCAGTGAAAATACTTTTTGACTTACTCTCCTACAGACAAATGCATAACAAACAAGGAGTCTGTATCAGAATCTTTTAGGGGTGTATACTGAAAATTTACATTTTTTTTTTTTATTCCCTATGCAATTCTGAAGCACAAGCACTTCTCAAAGTGCAGTCTGCAGATACAATGTCCACCTGAGAACTGTTTGTTAACAGCCTGTGTCAAATGTGAAATATCCAAGACATTCAGAACATATTTCTGATTTTTTTTTTTTGAAGTATGACTTTAATCAATGAAAAAAGTCAATGCATGATTTACCTTCTATTGCATGATTCCTATCTTTTGTAAAATGATAACTTCTTTGAATAGCCTTGATTTAGACCTTCAAACAATAATTTGCTTTATTGTGCAGATTTCCCTGATGAGCAAGGATTCACTGATCCATGAACTCCAGTACTTAATCATTATACCATTTCATGTGCAGTTGGTTAGCGGAATCAGTTTCCAGAGCCTGACCCCATGGTGTAATAACATGTGCCCTGGTCTTTATAGAGAAGGGCACCCTCTGGTATAAGGTGATTGCACCAAATTTGTGCATTCTTCTACAATCAGATGTTTACCATTCAGTATCTTTGTGCTTTTTTTTCTTCTTCTTCTGTGAAAATTAATACCCACAAAGCAATATAACTGCTTCATGCCAGCAATCATCACAACCATAAAGAGGCTCCCAATTTTGTTGACCCTGTTGTAAGAAAAAAGGAGATCTCTAACGTATACTACAATACTCATTTGGGCTGCATGATGAGTAGCACAAATATAACTCCAGCTAATGATTTTTTAATCAAATGGGGCTGCTCTCTAGAAGAAACTGTCTTTTAACGTGAAAGGTAATGCACACTTAATTAGTGAACCAGATGTAGTTGATTTAAAGCCTGAGGGAGAAAGCAGAAGTCAAATATACAATGTGTGATTAATAAGGAGGACAGCTTTCATCTTATCTTTACACATTCCTCTGTAGATGTATAACTCTGAGATTCAGCTTGATGCGCTATATCACTGGCTGCAGGAAAGATCTGTAACAAACTTGATTGTCTCCTTATACTCAACAGTTAGTTTTAAAAATTCATTTACAGAAACTAGTGACTATTTTAAAGATAGTTTATAATCTAATCTTAAATGTGAATTTTAAATACTCAAATTGCTGAACAGGATACTTAATTGGTTATAAAGTAGGAGATTCCCAAACTCCAATCTTAAAGTTGTTTGACTCTGCTGCCATTCTCAGTGCCTGACATGAGAGTTTTATAAAGTATTGGTCCAAAGAAGTAGCAAGAAGTGGTGATTTGAAATGATATAATGAATAATTGATGATTTTATGTAAAAAATAAATTTTACATAACATTATAAACTTTAAGGGGTATACAGTGATTTCATACACATTGTCTTACTTTATCCTTATGCCAACCCTTTGATAGGAGTGATAGCCTCCTTATATAAGAATAAGAGGCTCAGAGACTTTAGATGAATTGCTGGAAATCACAGAGAACTCCATAACTCGATGCTGATTTTTCACTAGTCCCAGTGCCGTAGGAATAGCTCTGTTGTTGAGTGGTATATGATTAGATTGGTTGATTAATTTCATTTTTAGCCAGTTCATTGAGTATTTGCTTACTTCTTTTTTTTGTTTTTGTTTCTTTCTTTCAAAAATAAAACAGGACCCCCCCCAAAACAAACAAACAAACAAACACAAAACTACACATATCACATTCCTTCTACTCTACATTAGAGGCCAAGTTAATTTGATCTTGAGATCTGAGGCTCTAGGGCCAGGTATAAGGCAAATTTGTATTGCCAACACTATTAAAAAAGAATTGTTACAAATTTTCTCTCCCTTTCCTACTCTTTATCTTAGTACAGACTGCTTACTGAGGTTGGCAGTTCAAACCCACCAGTTGTTCCTAGGAAACCCTATACAAGGCTGTGAGTCAGAACTGACTTGCTGGCTTTTAACAACAACAGCAATTGTTAAAAAAGGAGCCCTGGTTGTGTAGTGA